CCGGTACGGGGGCAACACTGAGGGTTGCGATCCCATTGCCGGTCCCGGTCCGGTACGGGGGCAACACTGAGGGTTGCGATCCGTTGCCAGACACGAAAAAAGACAAAAAGGAAAAAAAAAAAAAAATAGTACCAATTTAAGAGGTATACACTTTACATGGGAAATTAGATAGGACAAAAAATTAATAAAATAGCTGGACAATAACTTTGCGAAAAGATCTTTGTAGAAAGAAGAAAGCAGTGAGTAGCTCTAACCAAAGTAGCTGATATTCCCTCTGCTCCACAGGCGCTGGACCAGCTGGGGGCAGAGCCTGGGTGTGGGGGCGGAGCCTGGGTGTGGGGGCGGAGCCTGGGCGTGGGGATGAACTCACAGCAGCTGCAACTGGTCCTGCCTCCGGATGAGAGCGTTCTTCTTGTTGACCAGGGTGAACCACTCCTGGATCAGCACCTCCTCTTGCAGCCTGTTCGCACCTGAATCGGGCCAGGACAGTCACCAGGCCTGCGTCCTGACCATGGTGTCAGAGCCAGGCGGCTGAGAGTTGGGGGAGGGGGCTCTCCCTGGCATCCCAAAAGCCAGCAAGCTGCTTCCCTGCTCAGGGCATCAGTGTGCCCAGCTGTAAAATGGGAATGATGACCCCAGCTGTGCTTCCTCCCTACTCTTCCCAAGGTCAGGAAGAGATGCAGGGCTGGGCAGATCTGGAGACATGTGTTGGGGGGTGGACCCCAGATGCCTGCCCTACCTGACTCCATGAGGCTCCTCAGCTGAGTCTCCACCTCGGCCGCTCGCCCATCTATCTGCCTCTGCTCCTGTTCCAGGGCCTGCAGCTCTGCGCACACGTACTGACTTGTGTCCTGGAACCGTTGCTGGGGAAGGAAGGAGGGGCAGGGGACATTGTAAAAACAGCCCAGGCCCTGCCTAGGAAGTACCCACCCTCCAGCCCCTCCCACCTAGCCCTCCTTACCAGCCCAGACTCTTCCCCTGGGCTTGGGGGTGGCTCTTCCAATGGCGGACTCTCACCTGCAGACACAGACCAGGCTAAGGCACCCCCAAATGACATCTGCCCCCAGCCCAGGATTTGTGAGCAGCCTGAGCTGAGCTGGGTCACCACCCCCACTCACCAGGAGACTGTTGAGAGGCTGTGGGTTGGCCCGAGGCAGGACTGGGATCAGGACTCAGGCCTTCCTGTGGAAGAAGGGGCCAGTGAGGGCTGGGAAGGGTTCCCTGACAGCCCCGGCCTGGGGCCAGCCAGAGCTCACCCACGTTGGGAAGGAGAGGTCCTCAATCCCAGCACTGGGGTACCCACACCAGTGGTTTCTCCAGTCCAGTATGCACAGAACCCCCCACCCCCACCTGCTTCTAGGGAAAGTGCCTCCTCATGCAAAGGCCACGGCCCTCCCAGCCCTGTAGTCCCGGCCCATCCACTCCCACTCTCCAAGCCTCACAGTCCTCATTCCTGTGGCTGGGCTGATAACTTCAGCCTCACAAGGTAAGAGTCTGTGCTGAAAGGCTGTGAAGGACCCAGCTGGGGTCTCTCCTCCTCTTCCTCCTCCTCCTCCCCCTCCTCGGAGCCCCTTCAGGCCACCTGTGACTCCTGTCACCTAGTGCTGGTATCTCCATCATGGCCAGGGCTCCCACTGTCCCCCAACATGGCATAGTAACAATGTGGCCTCATCTCCAGACCCAGGCCATCCTAAGCCAAAACTTCCACCTCTTGGCCAAAAGGGGGCGCCCTACCACCTATCAGTTCTCAAACCTGGAGACTGCTATGCTTCACATGCTCAGGACAGGACAGAACACTCAGAACACTCTGGCTGGACCTATGAATTTCATCCTGGAAGGGCAGGACTGGCTCCCGATGTGCCCTGTCCTGGCAACTTGCTGGGATTGCCAGCCCTGGGGACCCCCAACTTTCAGCTCAGCTGACAGCCTGGCCCCCTTGATGACTCCTCCTCTGGCCACCCTTTTGGGTCACCCTTCAGATCTGGGGTGACCCCTTTGGGCCACCCAACTGTCTACCCCAACCTGCACCTCAGTGAGAGGCAGCCCTGGACCTCCATGGCTCAGGTGCCATCTTCTCCAGCCTCGGTCAATGGTGGCCTCCTCACAGCCACCACCATGCCCTGCCTACTGACTCCACCCTCAAGCCACAACTGAGAGGTCTTCCTAAAACCTTCATGATGGCATATCTCTCTCCACACCTGTTCTCAGCCCCCAGTGTGTTGGCGGCTCCAGCGTCAACTCTCCTACCACCCTGAGCCCTAGACGCCACCCTCTGGGCACAGTGATGCACTTTCAGTTCCCCAAACAGCTTCCTCAGCCTCCATCTTGGGCTGCCCAATACCATCCTGAGCCTCATGACCCAGCTCAGCCCACCTCCCCCAGGGGCCCCTTCATGCTCCCATCTTTTTGACTCCCTCCCTGACTTTCATGCCTCCTGAAGCCTCTCCTGAGCCCCAGGCTGGCAGATACTCCCCTCATGGCCTCCCTCATCACAGCTCTGACCCCACACCCACCGTCATGGCTGCTGGTTATGCATGTCTCCCTGACCAGAGGTAGCCCCTTCAGATAGGGCTGGGCCCAGAAAATGTATTCAGGGTACACTGATTAATAATAGCTGCTGGGCTGGCTGGTCTCAGTTGGCTAGAACGTGGTGTCATAACACCAAAGTCAAGGGTTCGAATCCCCATACGAACCAGCCGACAAAAAATTAAATCAATAATAATAATAATAATAGCTGCTATCTCTAGTGCTGGGTAGTATAAAGCGTTTCACATTGTATGACTCATTTAGTTCTCATGACTACCCTGTCAGGAAGGGACTATCACCACCCCCACTTTACAGATGAGGAAACTGAGGGCCAGACATGAGGCTCACATAAGGCCTGGTCTAGGGCCTGGGGTGGCCTACCCCAAAAGTTTGGTCCCGCCCTTGGCCACAAACTTGCTGTCATACCCCCTGGGCCTCTGTTTGTGTCCTTGTATGTAAAACAGGAAGGAATCCCAGCTCTGGGAGTTGCAAGGCTTGAGAAAGTTCCCCATTCCCATCTGGGGAACACATAGTTCCCCTTTTTTGACAGCACCCTGCAGGGGAGGGGTGCCTCAATGCCACCTTGAAAAAAGATTTTCATACACATTGTGAGGGGTAGATGAGGGGCCTGGGGGCAAGCCAAGCACACAGAGAGCACTCAGCCAACAGGGCAGGCAGAGGCAGGAGAGTGGAGAAACCCAAGCTCAGCAGCAGCCATCGAGCTTCCTCACGCCAGCCAAGATGGGAGTTCCAATGCTTCCTCATGTCTGACCCAAATTCCTCTTTCTCTACCCTCGTGCGTGGCCCCTCCTCCAGGAAGCCTTGCTGGGCTGCCCTGGAAGCACCCTCTTCATGGCCTTGCTTTGACCCCATGCAGCTTCAAGGTGCCTGACTTCATCCTGTTCCAGGACTTTGGGAGCTCCCAAGGGCTGGGCTGGACCTGACCACCTCCCACTGCACGCATGGGGCATGGGAGGTGGGGGAATGGGGTGGCCAATGAGGAGGAGTCTCCTCCACCGCATGGGTCGGATATCTCCTGTGGGACAACGCTTGAAAGGACCAGATGCTGGGACTTGGGCCCAGAAGGTTGGAGCCTCCCCTTTAAGATTTAAAGAGCCACTGATGCAACTCTGGGCTGGGCCAGAGGTGGCTGAGTCCTGCTGACTCCTGCATATCGCATTTCCTCAGGGTGCCTTTGGTGCTCTCTGCCTCTCATTCACAGGCTCAGCGCTGTGCTTCTGACCCTACACTCATGGTTCCCGCCCTCAGCCTGGCCTCATCACCACCTATGGACCTTAAGAGAGATGACTGGCCGTTCTGTAAAGGGGACCTGAACTTTCCTGCCACCACATTTCTGCTTGTGCGGGTCCCTCCACTTGAGTGCCACCTCCCATTTTTCACCTGGGAAAAACCTGCCCATTATCAACCTAGCTCAAACGGCTACTGCTTCTTCCAGAACGCTTTTCCCAATTTATTCCCTCCTTTCCTTGAAATTCAGATGTCATCCCTGGACAGTTGAAGGCCTGGAGCAGCTGCACAGAGCTGCCCCCGCTGCAGTAGATAGGCCGGACGGTGCAATGGTGGAACCCCAGCTTGAAAGCCCATGGCCTAGACTTCAGTGGCTGTGAGTCCTGAACAAATCTCCGCTCTCTCTGGGACCATCTCCCTTCAGCACAGTGACATGACACTCTGGGAGACTGACCTGAGACCTTCAGGGGATGTGGATGGGGACACAGATCCCCAGCAGAGTCTCCCACCTCCGACATCCCACTATAAGATAAGAGGACACTGGTCTGCAGCATCTGGGGTTAAAGATCCACGTCAGAGAATCTTGTGGTTGGAAAGCCATTGAAAACCCCCTTGAGAGGGGCCGGCCCGTGGCTCACTCGGGAGAGTGTGGTGCTGATAACACCAAGGCCACGAGTTCGGATCCCATATAGGGATGGCCGGTTAGCTCGCTGGCTGAGCGTGGTGCTGACAACACCAAGTCAAGGGTTAAGATCTCCTTACCGGTCATCTTTAAAAAAAAAAAGAAACCTCCCCCCTTGAGAACTTACAAATTTAATTTTGCCCCCGGTTTGTGGGGTGAGGTAGCTGCCGGCTGACCTCTGGCCACCTGCGGAGAAAGAGATGCCCAACCCACTCTAAGGTCAACAAAGTGCCATGCCGAGCGCTGACACCGTGGAGCCTTTGGGAACTTCCTACTACAGCCCAGGATTCCCCAAACTGGGTGCCAAAGTGTTACACATGCCCAGCGTATATCCAGGCTGGCAGCAAAGAGCAGGACCCTGCTCCAGCAGCCGCCCTGCGCCTGGCAGGCCTTTACTCGAATATGCCCCCTGACAGGGAGCTCACTACCGCGCCAGGGGACTCCTCCGCAGCAGGAGTCCTTCCGATCTATCGGAAAGCGCCTCTCGGGAGTCCAGCTGATTCCCTCCCTTCTGAGGCCGCCATAAAATCTCTGTCGCTGCTTCTTGAACCCCCCAAGCCCCAGATTTGGCTCCTGACACTCCCAAAACCCCCGCCTCTGCCTCCTGGACGTTCAAAGCTATAGTTTCTGCCTCTCGTATTTCTGAAATCTTTGCCTCTGCTTCCTGGGACCCTAAAATTCTTTGCTTAGTGACTGGAGCCTTTAAAGCCTCATATCTGAGAGCTCTCCAGACTCCAGTCTCTGCCTCCTGGACCCCCAAAGTCTTAGCCTTTGCCTTCTCAACTTCTGAAACTGTAGCTTCTGTCTGTTGGGTCCTCAGTACCTCATCCTCTGCCATTCCAGCCTCTGGCCCTGAGACCCCTGAAGCCCCCATCTCTGTTTTCTGGGCCTCTGCTATCTCAGAATCCATCCGTGGGACCCCTGAACCCCCAGATGCTGGGACCCCTGAACCCCCAGATGCTGGGACCCCTGAACCCCCAGATGCTATCGGGCTGGGCTGGGCGCTGCCCACGCGGTACGTGCCGGCGCCGCCGCCGCCCTCCAACTGCACCAGCTGCAGCTCCTGCCCCGTGCAGAAGGCGCGGATCTGGCACAGGTACGTCATCACGATGAGCTTGTCCGGCACCGCCAGCAGCACCATGTCCGCCGGCTCCAGCAGCCGCGACACGCCCAGGGCCGCGAAGCCATCGAAGGCCTAGGAAGGGTGCGCTCGGGGTCAGCGGTGGCTGCGGCCCTCGTTACCCAGCAACGCTGCGGCCCCGCACCGGCTCGCCGACGGGGTCCCCGCGACGTGCACGCCAGGGTTTGCCTAGCAACGCCTCCACCCTCCTAGGGAGGGAAATCTAGCAACAGGGTCCTCCCTCTCGTCACCTAGCAACTGCACACCTGCCACCTTCCACCCCCCCTCAACCCTCTCTTTAAAAACCCCTCGGTAAACCTGAGTCTTTGAGATGGCTTTAGTCTGGCCATTCTCCTTCAGGTTTAGTGGACAGGTGTGTTTACCTAACATCTCTTCTCGGGTCACTGGTATTCCTGAACAAAAGCTGACTTTCTATCCCATCCCTCCTCCCACAAAACAAAACAAAACAAAAAACCAAAAAAAACAAACCAAAACAAAACTAAGGAAAACAATTCAATGACCAACAAGGCAAATAGTGGCAGGACTTCCAAAAGCCACGGCTGGGGCCCTGCAGCCCACAGATCCCCCAAATCTGGGACCTGCAGCCTGGCTCTAGACCCCCTTTCCCTCGAGGCATGCTCCCTCCCCATCTCACCTGCTTGTTGTTCTGTTTGATGTTGAGTGGGTCCAGGGAGGCATAGTCGCTGCAGAGAGAGCACTGGTCAGACAGAGGCTGGACCTACACTGCCCCCCTGCAGGCTTCCCCCATTCATTCCCCCACCCCCACCCCCCAGCAGCTCACATCTTGTCTGGGTAGAATCGGTGCAGGATGGCACAGAAGGCCAAACCATTACGCCAGGATGTGGTGAAGTTGGTGATCCGGACGCCACGGTAGCCAGTGGTGACTTCTTGACACCACTCTAGCAGGGACTGGCTGGAGCTGACCAGGGCAGGTGGTGTCTGGGGACACAAGAGTGGACTAGAAATGTGTATGTACATGGGACCTGTGCCCTCTGTCCCTTGGGGAAGCTCAGGCCTGGCACAAAACAGCCCCAGCTCTGAGTTTACAGGGTCATCTGAGACCACTGGCCAGAGCCGTGGGGCCAGGCAAAAGGGTTTCCAGCTCCAGGGTTATCTGCCTAAAAGGTCAGTGGCCCCCAGGCAAGATCAGAGGTAACCAAGCAGCCACACCTCAAGGTCAGCCCAGAAAATCAGCTTAGGGGTGTCCAGCTCCATGCAGCCCAGGGAAGACAGGGTGGGAGAGCTGGGGCATCCTGAGAGAGGAAGGGATGAGGGGGCTCCTTGAAGCTGAGCCCCCCACCCCATCCCAGTCGACCAGGTGGGTCCATGCAGAGCCGCCGTTCGCTCAGCCCCAGGTTAGTGGGAAGCAGCAGACTGGGCCTTCGGCGGCCCCCATCCCTACCTGGCTGCCCGGCAGCCTCCTGTCCTCTTCAGGCTCCTCTGGGGAAGAGGCCCCCGAGGGCCTGGGTGCCCCAGCCTCTGCCCCACTGGCCACCTGCACTTCAATCGGGCTGGCCTCTGGGAGGCTTCCCTCAGTTTCTTTCCCCTTCTCGGTTCCCAAGACCCCAGCCTCTGCTTCCTGGGCCTCAGAAATACCAGATTTGATCTCTGGAGGCCCTAAAATCTCTGTCGCTGCTTCTTGAACCCCCCAAGCCCCAGATTTGGCTCCTGACACTCCCAAAACCCCCGCCTCTGCCTCCTGGACGTTCAAAGCTATAGTTTCTGCCTCTCGTATTTCTGAAATCTTTGCCTCTGCTTCCTGGGACCCTAAAATTCTTTGCTTAGTGACTGGAGCCTTTAAAGCCTCATATCTGAGAGCTCTCCAGACTCCAGTCTCTGCCTCCTGGACCCCCAAAGTCTTAGCCTTTGCCTTCTCAACTTCTGAAACTGTAGCTTCTGTCTGTTGGGTCCTCAGTACCTCATCCTCTGCCATTCCAGCCTCTGGCCCTGAGACCCCTGAAGCCCCCATCTCTGTTTTCTGGGCCTCTGCTATCTCAGAATCCATCCGTGGGACCCCTGAACCCCCAGATGCTGGGACCCCTGAACCCCCAGATGCTATCTCCTGGGCCCCTAATATCTCAGCTTCTGCTGCCCCAGTCTCTGTTCCTGGAACCCCTGAAATCTCCACCTTTGTCTCCTGGGCCACTAATATCTCACACTCTGCTATCTCAGCTTCTATCCCTGGAACCCCTGAACCCTCAGCTACTGTCTCCTGGGTCCCCAAAATTTCAGTCTCTGCCTCCCCCGCCACTGTCTCTAATACCCCGGGACCTTCCACCTCTGTCTCCTGGGCCCCCAATATCTTAGATTCTATCTCAGCTTCTATCCTCAGTACCGCGGAACCCACAGATGTCTCCTGGATCTCCGATATCTCAGTCTCTGCTATTATAGTCTTTTTCCCCAGAACTCCTGAACCTTCACCCTCTGTCTCCTGAGTCCCCAGTAACTCAGACTCTGCCATCCCAGTAGCCTCTATCTCCTGAGCCCCCAAAATCTCAGCTCCTACTGCCCCAGTCTCTATCTCTGGGAACCCTGATCCCCCCTCTTCTGTCTCCTGGGTCCCCAATACCTCCAACTCTGCCACCTCAGTCTCTGTTCCCAGGACCCTTGAATCCCCAGCTTCTGCCTCCCAGACTTCCAGATCCCTAGATATCACCCCCTGGTCAGCTGATGATGGGGCCCCCTGGCACCTGCTCACCTGGGGCCCGATGCTTGTTGCTCCAACAGAGGGGCCCTGCTCCACGCCTGTCCCCCCAACACCAGGGGTTCCGCCCCTGACCTCTGTGTCCTCTCTCTCCTGGCCTGCAGTAGCACTGGCCCCCTTGAGGTCACTGAGATGCCCAGAGCACCCTGCAGGCTCTGCTGGGGGTGGGCTCCAGGCTGTGGGAGCCTCATCCCTTGTCCTCACCCCCATACTCCCCTGAGAGCCCCTTGATGGAGCCTCAGGAGTTCCTCTGAATCTTGTCTCAGGCATCAACTCTGTAGCCTCTGGTCCCTTAGTGTCCACATGTCTCACCTTTGAGCCCTGCTCAGCATCCACTTGCCTAACTTCTAAACTCTCTTCAGGCTCCCCAGCTCTGACCCCTGACTTCTTAGTGTTCACCTCTCTGACTCTGAACCCAGGCTCAGCGTCCTCTCCACTAGCCTCTGGCCTGTCCTCATTGCTCCCCTCTTCAACCTTGGGTTTCTCCCCTCCCAAAGAATCTCTGGAGCTTCCATCCTTGATGCCTGGGCCCAGCTTAGCTCCCTGGGCCTCTGTCCCTTCCTGAGGGCTTGCCCGGGCCTGGATCTCGCTGGCAGAACCCACGCCTGCTGGGGGAACCTCTGAGGCTTTGGGGACCTCGTCCTCCCTTTGGGGGACGGGGGGCCACGAGGCGTCAGAGACTTTCCGGAGCCGAGGGGCTGGGGTGGGGGCCATGTCCTGGTCTGGCTGCCTCAAGGACCTGAAGAGAGAGCAGGAGGCAGTGTTGGGGGGCTCATGTGGCCCCCACTCTCAGCTCCATCCCCCACCCTTCAGACTGCCAGGGCTCTGGAGAGGCAGGTTGGTGGGGGGAGTGCAGCTCCTAACAGTGGGCAGGGGTGGGGGTGGGGCTGGTTCCAAAGCTCACCTGGTCTCCAGTGGGGTCCCCAGGGGCCTTAGGGTCTCAGGCCCCACCTGACCCCCTGCTACAGTAGCTGGTTCTGACCCCTGGCCCCGGGAGGCCCTGACCGGGGGTGCAGGGGCACTCACAGGGGCTGGGCTGGTATCCTCAGCACTAGAAGGGCCAGCAGCTGGGGAGGAAGGAAGGGAGGGGGCGCTAAGGCCTGGGCGCTGTAACTTGGGGTCCAGTCCCCACCCCAAACCCCAGCCTGGGCCTCACCTGCCTGCTGGGGCAGTACTCGGCCCTCCTCCTCCTCCTCACAAAGTGTCTTCAGCTCCCTAGAGGGATCTAGGGTGGGGGTGTGGGGTGGGAGAGTCAGCCCAGGGCAGGGCCCCACAAGTCTGACCCCCTTCCCCCAACTAGAGTGCAAGGCCTACCTGGGAAACGCCCCAGCCTCAGGGCACCGCCCCAGCCTGCGAGAAGAGACAGGCCCACAGATGCAGAGAGAGAAAGAACCACAGGACAGACAGAGAAAAAGCCTTAACAAGCAGAAAGGAGGAATGAGGACGACCGTGGCTGACCCGTGGAGGCAGGTGGGGAGGGATGCAAAGACCAGCCTGCAGCCCCGCTCGGGGCTTCCCACCCAGCTGTCTCAGGTTAGGTATGGACCTGGCAGTGCCCACCCAGGGATGAAGGAGGGCCAGGGGCATGGGGAGGTACTGGGAACCCATCCTGCAGGACTCAGCTAAGGACCGAGGCCACCACAGGACCAGGAAGCAAGCTGGGACAATCAGGGCTGCTCGGCAGGTTGGGACTGCCTGGGCAGTAATGAGCTCCCATCACTGGGCATGCACAAGCTGGCCCTGCCCCAGCACAGCCAGTGGCTCATGGCCTGGGTACCCCCACCCTCCCTGGGTCTTGGCAATCTCCATCTCTAGCAGGTTGTGGGCCTACCAGGCAGGGGGACCTGAGCCCGTGCCTCAGGCGCCCCTGGGCCGTTAGCCTCGTCCTCGTCACTCTCAGCAAAGTCGTCCAAGTTGCCCACATCACTAGGCTTCACGCTCATGAGGCTTGCAAGACTCTGCATGTCATCATCCCTGGGGGTCAAATGTCAGGGGTAAGGGTTGGGGTTGGAGGTCACCGGCCAGGGCCAAGGAGGGCAGACAGGCACTCACGTGGCACGGCCCTCCCGCAGCAGCACCCCTGAGAGAGTGAGGCTCAGCTCAGCCTGCACCACCTTCACCGACTTGGGCTTCAGCCGCAGCCGCAGCGGAACTTGGGCAGGCACAGGCCCCGCATGGCGGGCCAGGTCCACATCGGCTGTGGCCAGCACCTTCCGCTGCCCCTTGGACTCCTGTGTGCCAGGGGTGGGACCGGGAGAAGGAGCATCAGTGCTGCCCCAGGGTCCCCAAGACCCCAGGCCCCAGCCCCCTCAGCCACTCACATTCTCAATAATAAACGTCCACTCTTTGGCCTCATACTGGTCCACATGGGGGTCCTGGGAAGAGGGGACACTGGTGAGAACAGGGCTGCTGGGGTACAGCAGTGAAGGGAGAAGAGCTGTGCTGGCTCAGGGGTGCTTGGTGGGGGCCCTGGGTGCTTGGTGAGTGCACCCTAGCTTCTGACCCTTGCTGTCTCTCATACCGCATGTGTTAGGTAAATGCTGCCTCCTCCAAGGAGACTTCCTGGGCCACTCATGGTGAGTGCCCCCCCTCCCAGCAAATCTTGGTCTCACCCCTCTATTCTTTCCTCTTTGGATGAACACGGCACCAGGGACCCCTGTGGCTGCAATCCCATGCCCATTCCTGCCATGCTGGAGGGCTAGAGACTCACCCTGTAGAGGGTCACGGAGATGTCCACATTCTCAGGTACCATCCATACCACGGTGCCCCGGTATGGGTTCTGGATACCCGGCTGCCAGCTGTGGGCCTACAAGGGGCAGGCTGAGTCCTCTCCCTAGTCTTAACTTGTTCCCCCTCACCCCATGCCCTTATCTCCATCCTTGGCCCCATCTTCCTCTCCCTTCTGTGGATTCTGATCCAAACCTGCACCTGACTCCACTCCCCCCCATCGCTCTTCCCTGTGGCCCCCTATTGGCCCCATCCCCAACCTGGACCGTTGCCATCCTTCCCTACCTTGGAGCAGATGCGTCGGTTCCGCCGGGTCCACACCACCACCAGCTTATCTGGCTGCCTGGGTGGGGCAGGGAAGGGCTACTCAGGCCCACCCAGCCTCCACATCCCCTCTTCCTCCTCTTCTCCTACTCCCTTAGGGTCTTCCTTATGCCCACATCTCCTCCCCCACAGGAGAGGGCTTGGGCAACCCCTTATCTGGGGCCACAGGGTGCAGGGTGAGGCTGCTGAGGCAGGGTGGGGCCAGGGCAGAAGGGCAAAGGCCTGGACAGCATGGGCAGGCAGGGTCTATGAAGAAATACAGCAGGAGAGACAGAGACAGAGATCCCTAAAAACACATCATGGACCCAGCGAAAGACCCACGGGGGCTGTGTGTCTGAGCAGAGGCATGAGTTGGGGAGGATGGGCTGGTGAGGAGCTGGAGAAAGGGCTCCAGGCAGAAGAAAGGGCAAGTGCAAGGGCCTGAGGTTGGGGGCAGGGGTAGGGTCAGCGTGAGGGGCAGCTTGTCATTAGACAACTCCCAGGGCCTGCCATGATCAGCCCTTTGCTGGGCCCAGGCGCCCCAAGGAGGGTCACTCGGGGTCCCCATTTCCCTGAACCTAGAGCCTTGGACCATAACTTTGTAAGATGATGACAATGGAGCCCAGAGGGCCCCTGACCCCCATGGTGAGGAAGGGAGCATGAGGGAAGACTTCCAGGAGGTGACACCTAACCTGACCATCATATGCGTCGCAGACTCAAAAGAGTGGCAGAGAGATGTGGGAGGTAGAGACAAAGGGCAAGGAAAGAAATGGCTGCCCAGGGCCCTCCTAGACATGGCGCTGACGTGTGGCTGTGCCTGGGGGAGAGGGCTGCCCAGGTGACTGGGGATGGTTGAGGGGATGATCAGGCCAAGGGCCAAGGCACAAAAGCCCTCCTTGCCTGTACCCACCCAGCCCCACACCAGGATGCTCATGCCCCTCTGGAGGCCAAGCCAGGATAACTGGCTCTCCTGTTAACCCCTGAGGATGCTGAGGCCCAGAGAGGTTGGGGGCCAAGCCAGGTCACACAGCTGAGCCTAGAGCCCTCTCGCCACAAGCCAAGCTCCCTTCCCCAAACTGCAGGTTATGGCTGAGCAAGGGTAGCCATGGGGCCTTCCCAGAAAGGGGAAGAAGACAGGGGGCGCCTGAGGAGGGCGGGGCCTGGCTGGGCAGCCTGACTCAGGCTGGGCACGCCCTCCTGGGGAGCTGCGACCTGGGCTGGAGCAGCTTCCTGGCCTGGGCTCCAGGCTAGGAAGCTCAGGATGCTCTACCCTCCACCGTCTGTGACTCAGCCATGTTGACACTGCCCACAGCTTCGGCCTGCTCTCCGGGACCATGCTCAGTGTCCCCCTGGCCTCATCTAGGATGCTGGAGTAGAAACCAGAGGCCATAGTTCAAGTGCCGGTGCCCGACCTCTCTGGCCTCTGCCAAATGGCGTGAACGGCCCTCTGGCAGGCCCAGTGTGGGCAAGACCAGGGATATGGCAGCCGCTTGGGACCCTCGTCTCCTGCTCACTCCCCTCCCATTGGACCCCATGGTCCCTTCCTGCCCCAGCCCTTCCCCTCCGGAGCCTAAATTTAGCCCTGCCTGGCGGGTGAGGCCCCCACAGCTGTGCCCTAATCCAGCCAAGGGAAGCTGACACCAGCAAGCACGTATATTTAGGGTGTGACGAAGGGGCCTGGGCAGCTGCGGGTGGGGGGCATGTGAATGAGATGCCCCCAGGCCCTTTGGCAGTCCAGGCTAGGTCCTGCACCCTCTCACATATGGGCCCCTCGCCCCATCACCTCGCCCTCCGCAGGCCCTCTGCTCCTGGCTCACAACCTCCTAGGCCCTCAGGCCCCTTTAAGCCGCTCCCTGCCTCTCTACTCAGCCCTCCCAGTGCTCAGTTTCCCCTTTTAAGGACATTGTGGAGACATTTCCAACCTCCTAGCACCCGCTCTGGCTGAAGGGGGGGGGGGGGATCTGGCTCAACAAGAGGGCAGGGTAGCAGGGGGCAATATCTTTGTTTTGAGCTGGACCAAGGTGCATGGGGGTTTCTG